GAGTGGGGGGTGGGGGAAGGGGCAATTGTAGTAAGCCTAGGGGTAAAACAAACAGAAGAATCCAATTCTGAAGATGTTTTATGCTTAAAAAGGAGGTCATAAGTGGAGCACAATGGTTTCGCTTGCAAAGCAGGCCTCCACAGCAATCGCAGCAATCAACCTTTTGATAGAATAGCTTCAACACTTGATTAGTGAAACCGTGCCATGCGTCGATTCAATGGAGGTGCCTTACTGCCACATTGACGACACATTGCCTTGACACATGTGAGTTTTGAGTCGACTAAAAAAACATGAATGATTTGACGACGAATTGAGTTGACAAGGCTATTGCTAACTTAGGAACCTCTGCTACCATACTCGCTGCACGCCAGGAAATACCAGATACTCACCCTATTTGCCATACTCACCCTATTTGCCATACTCACCCTATTTGCCATACTCACCCTATTTCCCTTACTCACCCTATTTGCCATACTCACCCTATTTGCCATACTCACCCTATTTCCCTTACTCACCCTATTTGCCATACTCACCCTATTTGCCATACTCACCCTATTTGCCGTACTCACCCTATTTCCCTTACTCACCCTATTTGCCATACTCACCCTATTTGCCATGCTCGCCCTATTTGCCATACTCACCCTATTTCCCTTACTCACCCTATTTGCCACACTCACCCTATTTGCCATACTCACCCTATTTGCCGTACTCACCCTATTTGCCATACCCACCCTATTTCCCTTACTCACCCTATTTGCCATACTCACCCTATTTGCCATACTCACCCTATTTGCCATACTCACCCTATTTGCCATACTCACCCTCTCTGCCACACTCACCCTCTCTGCCATACTCACCCTCTCTGCCATACTCACCCTCTCTGCCATACTCACCCTCTCTGCCATACTCACCCTCTCTGCCATACTCACCCTCTCTGCCATACTCACCCTCTCTGCCATACTCACTGCACGCCAGGAGGCAGCAAATAGCGGCTGAGCACCCACTCGCTCGCTGTCCCCTTTAGAACCGGCTTCATGGATTCGTCTCCAGCCACAGTTGGCCTAAGCGAGCTTAAGTAGTAGTCACGGCTCATTAGGATCTTAACAACCCCTTTCGAGACCTTGATTATAGAAGGTTCGGTTCCTGAGCGCATCAAGTGCGTCTGAAAGAGTGTGAGAGGCGAGGGAGGGAGGGAGGGAGGGAGGGAGGGAGGGAGGGAGCGAGGGGTGCATGGAGGAATGAAGAGAAGGAGGGGTAACAACCTACTTATCCTGTGCACATGCTACATGTGGTTGTGAGTTCCCACAGATGCTAGTACTTATGAGTGTATTTAAGTTAGTGAAAACCTCTGTTCGGGTAAACACGTGCTTGTAAGTACACCACTCTGGGGTACACCGCGCCCTTGTCAAGTTAAGGAGGACTCACAAGCTGACTTTTGAGGCATCTCATCCAGACTTTTGAGGCGCCTCAAAAGCTTACACCGCGCCCTTATCAAGTCAAGGAGGACTCACAAGGAGTAACCAAGCCGCCTCTGCAGGCGTGTGTGGTGAGGCGCCTCAAAAGTTTGTGCGTGTCATGCAGCAGCACTCACCATGTACACCACTCTGCGGTACACCACGGCCTTTTCAACAAGGTACCTCTTGAGTTGCTCAAAAGTCAACTCAGAAGTCGGACTATGGGCGAGTCAAAAGAGAGTGCGTTTGTGTCATGCAGCACTCACCATGTACACCACTCTGCGGTACACCACGGCCTTTTCAACAAGGTACCCAAGCCGTCTCAGCAGCTGTGCCATACTGGCTGCCCAATCCGAGCGTCAAAGTCGAAGCATGGACTCCAAGTCCTTTGAAAAAGGCGGGAATCCGACTCTGGTGATCCGCTTCTGGAAGTCCAACCTGAAAATCCCACTCTGTGAAATTCGATCCTGTAAAACCGAACCTGAGCCGGTGGGTTGAAATCCGAACCTGGGATCAGACCCTGCTACCGGGAATTTGTGACCCTGAGCTGGAAGATCGAAATTCGAGCCTGAGACCGTGGGATTTCTGGGAATAGGAGCTTGGTTGGTGGAATTCCTGGTTGTGTTAGCGTCAATCTGTTCAATGATTTCGAATCATCCTACCGCTGGGGACCCTCGGCTCAGCTCATCAGCAGTTTAGTAACTGGAGGAACGAATTCGCCTAGCAAAGCCAGCCTAGACTTCTCGCAACGCGTGTGAAACAAATTCAAGGACGTCTCAAAGCGACCGGCTGATGCGTCACGTGAACCGACAACATCGCGAAAAGGGGAAGTGCGAAAAGCAACTAAAAATACACTCGCCCGCAACTTTCCCGATATTTTTTGCCCGGCACTTTCAAGTCAAGGTTTTAGAACTGCATGGCGACAGTCACTTACAAAGCAACCTCCCAGGCACTCTTCCGTCTCTAACTGTACACATTGGGGCAACTGACCAAGTATACAGTAAAGCAACATTTCCGTCAACTTTGAGCAACCTGTGCGAAAGTGTCATGACGACGCCACGTGGCGTACGCCGTACTCTAGATGAAACTCAGACACGCTGACGTGGCGATTATTGTACTCTACGACAACCGTCGGATTAGAATCTGGTCCGACGCACGAGATACTGCGAAATAGACCAATTGTAGCCTGCGATTTGGTGTACAGTAACAAATAACGATTGGCTGGCGATTTCTAGAAAAATCCTTGCGACGCATTTAAATGACCCAACATTAGCAGAAGTTCTACTATAATATTTTTTTCTCTTTACAGTATACTTAGTATTCACAGCGCACACAAACTGTACACATTATTTTATTATACACCAACGCCTAACTTATCCTGCATTGCTAGGTTTCTACACCTGCATCTCTGAAAGAAGTAAAACTCATCAAGGTAAGAAAATGTCAACTGGAAAAACAGACATGGACTTGTTAACAACAAACCAACATTGCGTTTCCAACACTCACCATTGGGGTTAGTAATAATGTAGAACGCTTCAATGTTGGAAAATATACATACTGCGATACTGGTTGACGATAAGCTTGCAATAACAGGTACACCCTGCAAAATACGCATGTGCGAAAGTCGAAACTTATACTCCTGCAAGAAAAAAAAGGTAAGCGATGACGTTCACGTCTCTGAGCTTGCTACGGTAGGGTTAGTGATAACCCGTTCGTGATAGTCAGCTGCATCGCTCTAGCCACGGCAGTTAAGCATGGCGACAAGTGAGATGCTGCACACTGGTAGTCTCTAACAGAATGAAAGATGTAGATGCAAACGTAAGAAGGTAACATGACTTGAGACTGCAAACATGAGATATGGCGAAACCATGAAAAACGTATACATCACCGAACGTGTTGCTAAGCTTCAATATTTCGCGACTCGTTTCATCCGCGAACTTGTTGTAACTGGTCGACCTGGAAAGGGGAATGTTAGGGTAAATGGAAGGGAGAAAGTCCAGAATGAGTCAATGAAGTTAACTCTGCCGTGCAGATGTTCACCACGGAAGGAGACGGAGAAATCGTCGGTAAATAAGTGGCATAATAGTGAGATTAACATGAGGACTTAGTTGTTGGCGCAGGTACCAGGAGAGCGCTTCTGGTGGACGTTGAACAAAAATTGAACAAGGAGATGTGTCTGAGATAGGTCGTTGGTTTTAGTTCGCGAGGTACGTGCGTGGGGGAGAATCATGGGAGAAAGCTTCCCACGGTGAAGGTGGACGTTTTTGGATGGTTGGGTGTGTATGCTGACGTGTGGATAACGGATGGTGTCAATTGATTGACTCTTCATAGCACAACCATGATTGGTTCAAATTGATTTGTTGGCTCACACGTCAGACCTCTGAAGAAACCAGCTTGCGTTTGTGGGTTGGTTTGGGGGGTTGGGTTCGGAGTTGGGAGTAAACGAAACCGATGTATCCACTTGTGCAACCTCGCTAAATTTCGTGAGGTCCTTCTGTTTCGTAAAATTTGATGTTACCCTGGTCATTGTAAATGTTAACCTGCCAACCCGCTTTCAAACTCTCTCGAACGCTCGAAACCGAGTGACGCGAAAATGTTGACGGAAAAGCAACTTTGCGGTGACATTTCTCCGCAGGTTTCCGCATTCGCCACTGGTGTACAGAATGTTGCAAATTTCGTGCGCTGTTTTTTGGACACTGTGCGCAACTTGTATGCAAGGTTTACACAGAAAAACCTTTGGAGGCCAAAAATCGCGACTTTCCTTTTTCGCGATGAACGCCCAAATCGAACGCGCGGATTGGCGGCAAAAGAGAAGCTCGGATGATGATACACGAGACTACGTCGTTTTGGTCCGAAGGAGGACGGCTAGGAGACTCTAGAAAATCCAACCCCCCAGAATCTTCCCTCAAACTCCACTCAATGCTACCTCTAGGTATGCTCGGAGGAGGTTACCTCGGGGTGTAAGACAAGGTTACCTTGCGGGCCACCACTCCCCCTCGATGTAATCTGCGATGATACCTGAGGTGCGCGCCCCGATGCTACCACCAACATCCCCCGAACTCACCAGCATCTTCCACATCAGCGTCACGCTATTGGCCCATGGGATCCGGCGATTTGCCCCTGCGAGAATCACGCGAGACAGTAACTCCCTCCGTGTAACACAGAACACTTGACTAACAACAGTCTGTCCTAGACCTAAGAGCTGGCAAAGCCTTCGATACTATCACACGTAATCAGTCACAGAATCAATACAAATAATAAGAACACTACTCCAAGTACAGTACTTTAATATTTTCCACATGTACAAACATACAGAAATCTAAATTTTGGAACAACATTTCTCTATGCAAACAATAAATCTATGCAGGCAACATGCAGTACTTCTGAGGTGTTCCATGGTATTAACATAGTTCTTCAACACAATCAATCGCAATAAAGAGTGTGTGCTGTCTAGGTCAAACATTGATTCCATGCAATCATAGTGCATTTAAACTACACAAACCTCCCATGCAACACATCCAAACACATCAACTAGACGCCCGACCTCTAGGGCGCCTCGACGGCATCGTTGAATCCCAGATCAATTCCATCATCTGAAATCAGCACCAGGGCGTTCTGCCTGAATGCCCATGCCCTGTGCCTCGCCTTCCACCAAGGGCCCCGCTCAGGGGTGCGGGAAAGAATAGCAACGCGTGCCCAGGCCCGAATACGGGAGTGATACCAGCGCACGCCCTGGTCATTCTGCCCACCACTCTTCGTCAGCGGCTTCCCCGTCTTCAGCGGAGTCTCCGCCTGTCAGACATGGGACACGCGGACCTACGTCAGAAGGACCTTTGCAGCTTGGAGAAACCGGTCAAGTGAGAAAAGAAAAATTGGCTCACCCCGAACAGCCAAAACGCCACTGCAGTGAGCTTCAACACCATCTGACCACCTCCATATGAGCGGCTGTTAAACGTTTCGTAAAGGCCGACGTCAAAAGCCTCTGTGGCGAACGGGACGCCGTTCTCCACATGCCATGTGAAGAGTTCATGGCTCCCGCACCCTGCAGTCCATTCAAGGAAACAAAGAGCAGAGCACGATGTCAGGATGAGCGTATTTAGAGCTGCAGTTTGGAGAACGAAAGGATCCTTGTATGTACCTGGTGCCTTATCCTTTAGAAAATCTGCCACGGTTGTGCGCGGTGTCGCCGAAGGGTCTGGTCTAGCAGGCGGAAGCACTCGAGAGCTCTTTGGCTTCTCGTAGGGCATCCCGTTGAGCACCATGAAGTAAGCCCTCGCGATGTCCCACAACGTCGAGCGGCATTTCTGCATCCGGAGCATGAAGGTTTTGGCGCGCTCCTTATCCAGGGACCACACAACATGGAGACGCCTTCGGTCCTCCTTCCCTTCGATGCCTATTGCCTTCGCCATCACTCGCTTGACGACGGCGTCCGACGGCCAGAAACTCATTAAGTTGTCCGCTAGCTCAAATATGAGAACATCGATCGCTACCTCCACGGTGTCCTGCCAATCAGAAGGAAAAAAGTGTGGTCAGTGTAATAACACTGTGGTTGGCACCAGCAGATTGTAACAAGGGGGAAGCTAGGAAATCCACTCGCCTGCAATCCTTCGTCGAATGTTGGAATAGCCAAATCCGCCTCGCCCAACGTGCTCGCGTATGTCTTGACACCTGGAGTCATCACTACGCCTCCCGAGTGGATCGCGTGAAACTCCCTCTGTAAGGCACGTGACACGAACGGTGAGTATTGACCGCGGCGGCTTTTCTGGACGGCGGGATTGGGATGCACATGTCGGCCGGCCGGACCAGGTGTCTCGATGTCGCGCCTTCCCCGCTTCCCCGCGCCGTTTTGGAAGGTTGGGGAGGCATCGCCATGTCCGGGATCGCCGGACATTCCAGGTGGAGTGCCACAAGCGCGCAAGGCTTGCATATCCGCATCCCGCACTCTTCTTTCCAAGCCTTCCACATACTCTTGCGTGATCCGCCGTGTCCCAGCGCCGTTTCTGCACCCTGGGACGTCCGGCCCCCTTCCACCACTCCTGAGATTAGCAGGATTGCCGTCGCGGTCCACCGATGGTGCCCTTGGAGCGGCCTCAGAGACATCTGCTATTGGGCGTCGTAGGCGCCCGCGAGCTGGTGTCGACACCCAATCATTGTTAAAACAAGGACGCACTCGTTAGTCATAGAATTGGATGCGTTAAGACTAGATGCTCTTGAAACCGGAGGATCGACCCTCATAGTACAAATCCGACGTCAACGTGCAACCACGATACATCACCTTCTACCTCCTCATCGACCGGCTGATCGTCGGCCGCGACGCCGACTTGCATCTCTTCGCTCGCGGCTGCCGAGGTTTCGTCACCTTCCGCATCGTAGCTCCCGCTACCCCACGCCGAGTAGCAATCCTCGGGTTCCTCGATGTCGCTCCGCCTTGACCTTGGTTCACCCGCCAATGCGGCCTGCCCGCCGGTGCCCACCTGGCGTCTACGCTGACCACGGATTCCGTAATAGTGGAATGCCCCATCCTTGTGAGCTCGGTGGTTGTGGTGGCGCGGCAACGACCGAATGCCTGGAGGGCTGAACACGCTCGTGGGTAACATTGTAGCAGAATGAGACGAATAGTGTGAATGCAACTTCACCCGTCAAGGCATAAATACAGCCCAGATTCTGAATGGTTGGATTGGGGCGTGGTTGAGAACGACGCAAATGTGCGCTTGAGGCCGTGTGCTTCTGGTTCAGCAACGGGGGTACTATCCTACGTAAACAATGATGTCATGCTATGTTTGGCCAACGGGGGTACTATCCTACGTAAACACAGCATGTCATGCAGTGATTGGCCGAGGTTGTTCCCCGACCTACGCTCGAGCGATTCTGACTCGTCTACCCCACCCCGCTGGCGTGCAGTGTACCACTCACGGAGCTGCTGAGGGGACAGGGTCTCACGACCACGCTGCTGCTGCTGGCGCGGACCACCACCGGAGCCACTCCTCTGTGTAGACCCGCGACCAGCTCCACCGCCTCCTCCTCCGCTTCCGCCGCCTCCGCCACCACCGCCGCCCCCGCCACTGTCGCCGCCACCGCTACCACCGCCTCCTCCGCTCCCTCCGCCACCGCCGCCGCCTCCGCCCCCACTGCTGCCACCGGTACCCCCACCTCCTCCACCACTCCCACCACCACCCCCACTCCCTCCGCCGCCTCCACCGCCACCTCCACCGCCCCCGCCAGCTCCTCCAGCGCCCTTGCCCCCCTTGCCCTTGCCTGCGCGGCGCTTCCCCGAAGGGGCAGACGCAGCGCCGACCGACTCGAAACCAACGAGGTCGGCCGCAGCAGCAGAAGCAACAGGGGGCAAGAGGGGGGAGGGAGAACACCCCTCAAAGACAGGGGTGCGGGGGTCACCACGAGAGGCTCCTACAGCGACTATGCTCTTCTCCGCCGCTAGGAGGGACTTCTCGAGGAGGTCAATGGTGAGAGTGGTGGGGCACACTGCGAGGAAGTGGTCCCTGACTACTCTAAGGGAGTCAGGGAGTCGGGTGACTATGAAGTAGAGGGTGATGTACATGGGGGGGGGGGGGGGGGGGTTCTTGGCACAGAAGTCAGCAGGAAGCGTAGCGCGGTAGCGAGTGTCACTAGTGCGGAGGTGCGTAATGAGGTCTGCGACTGCGGGAAAGGCAGCAAGGTCAAGGAAGAGGTACGGCAGCATGAGACGGCTCAGTGCAGCAGTGGCAGGGGAGGAGTAGCGTGCAACTACAGCGTCGTACAAGGTCTGAGCACTCTTGTACTGACTAAAGTGTGCACGCTCGGAGGTAGGGAGGTGGCGACGCACAGCAAGACGTGCAGCAGCGTCGCGCGTGGCCCACTGGGAACGAACGGTGGCATCAGCATCAGCAGCAGGGGCAGGGGAAGCGCCAGAGGTGAGGTCAAAGAGAGAGAGGCCGTCTGCCCTATCGCACTGTAAGAGCAGCTGCAGGTCATCTACCCAGACCTCAAAGTCAATGGCCCGACCCTCAGCGTCAAAAGCAAGGACACTAGGGGTAGCCATGACGACAGTAGGCTAGTAGTGCAAACAGTAGGGTGAGGGCAGTGCAGTGAAAGAGGCGCTGTGCTCACCAGTCTGGGCAGCTCGGGCAGCTCGGCGGCTCGGCTGCTGGGCGGCTCGGCTGCTGGGCGGCTCGGCTGCTGGGCGGCTCGGCTGCTGGGTGGCTCGGCGGCTCGGCTGCAGGGCGGCTCGGCTGCTGGGCGGCTCGGCTGCTGGGCGGCTCGGCGGCTCGGCTGTCCGGCTGCTCCGGTGCCCGGGCGGCTCAGCGGTGCTGCTGCAGGGCGGCGCGGCGGTCGGCTCCTCGGCTAGGTTGGGTGGGTCGGGCAGTCATGGTGGCGGGCGGCGCTGCAGCAGGTGAGAGGCGGCAAGGCCGCAGCAGAGGGCAACGAGGCCGCAGTAGAAGGCGGCGAGGCCGCAGGTGACGGCGGCAGAGCCGAAGGGGAGGGCGGCGAGGCCGCAGCAAAGGGTGGCAGAGGCCGCAGTAGAAGGCGGCGAGGCCGCAACAGAGGGCGGCGTGGCCGTAGCAGAAGGCGACGAGGCCGCAGGTGAGGGCGGCGAGGCCGCAGCAGAGACGGGCGGCGACGGGCCGCTAGTAGGGCGGCGATGGGGCCGCAGGGAAAAGGGCGGCGACGGGCCGCCTTATGGCAGCGGCGGGCCGCTGTTGAAAGGGCGGCGACGGGCGGCGGCTAGGGCGGCGACGGGCCGCTACTAGGGCTGCGACGGGCCGTCGCTAGGGTAAGGGCGACGGGCCGTCGCTAGGGTAAGGGCGACGGGCCGCTAAGGGCCGCTAAGGGCGACGGGGTGCTAGGGCGACGGGCCGCTGAGGGCGACGAGCCGCTAAGGGCGACGGGCCGCTAGGGCGACGGGCCGCTGCTAAGGCGACGGGCCACTAGGGCGACGGGCCGCTAAGGGCGACGGGCCGCTAAGGGCGACGGGCCGCTGCTAGGGTGGCGGGCCGCTAAGGGCGACGCGACGGGCCGCTAAGAAAGGCGCGACCCTAGGCGCGCTTCGGGCAGGGGCAGGACGCGCCCCGAGCAGGAAAAAAAAAAAAAAAAAGGTTGGCGGGCCCTAGGAACAGTTCCCACGAGGGAACCTGCTCGATACCATGAGAAAATATGAACGAGAAATGAATGAACTATGAATGAACTGGGTACAAGTACTAACCCTAATTGGGTTGTACCCCCTATGGGATACCCCACTATAGCCTACACAAAAGCAGAAGCTATAATGTTCTGACAGACAGTTCAGCAGGCTGTAGAGGGGGAGCACAGGGAAAAATGGCGCGAAGCCATGGACAAGGAGTTAAAGGAGCTGGAAGAATGCAACACCTGGAAGGTCGTACCTATCGGGGTGGCACGAAACAAGACCATTCTCACCGGAAAATTGGTTTTTTTCGCGTGAAAACAAAGGCAGACGGAACCATTGACAAATTCAAGGTGCGCTGGGTCGTACGTGGCTTCGACGAAGAACACGGACGAGACTTCACCGGTTAGTTGGCATACCTCACTACGGATTCTCCTTGGATAGCCGCCATGAAGCGGAAGAAGCTTCGTCAAATAGATGTCGCCAACGCCTTTCTCTACGCACCCGTCAACGCTGAAATCTTCGTCGAACAACCGCACGGCTCCAACACAGACCCCAATCAAGTATGTCAGCTACTGAAGTCCCTGTACGACATCAAACAGGCCTTGAGACTGTGGCAACAGTACCTACACGCCCGACTAATCTGCATGGGATTCAGGCAACTGCCGCACGATCAAGGGATGTACCGCCTCACAAAAGGAGCCGACTACATCCTGCTCATCGTCTACGTGGACAATCTACTCTACATCGGCTCGACCGACGGCGTCACAACCTGGTTTAAAGGGGAGCTGCAGGGGGACTTGCTCTTACCGTCTCATCAACCGTGACGCAGTACCTAGGACTCAACATACAGGACGGCGAGAACACGATCCACCTCAGCGCCGCAAAATATGCCGACACTATCGCCAAACGCTTCAGATTAACTCCAACTGCTATCTCCACACCGTACAGCTACACCTCCGCAAGTCACAAAGGATCCTCCGCTCAACTTAAGCCTGCCGGTATACGCGACTATCAAGAAAAACTAGGATGCCTGCTATTCGCAACCGTCACCTGCCGACCAGACCTATCGTATTCAGCAAGCCAGCTCGCCACCTACCTTAAGAAACCTGAAGCAGGGCACATGGCGGAACTCGACCGCGCACTCCACTACCTTGTCAGCACTCCGACAATCGGCCTGACCTACCACAAAAAATGGAACCTCGACACCTAAGTTAATCGGTTATGTAGACACCGACCACGCCGGCGACGCAGACAACAGGCGCTCGCGCACTGGCTACATCTACCGACTTGAACCTATCAGGCCTATCTCATGGCAGTCGAGCAAGCAGGAACTAATCGCTCTCTCCTCAACTTAAGCAGAATATATTACACTCTGCTCAACCACCAAGGAAGGCTTGTATCTTCGCGAACTGCTGGAAGAAGCAAAGTTGGCCCAGTTACCCAACTTCTCTCTGTTCTGCGACAACCAATCTGCAATTTGCATAATGAACAAGAACGAGTTCGCGAACTGGACGAAGCATATCGCCCTGCAATACTTCTTCGTGAAAGACGAGATCGAGAAGGGGAGACTTGAGCTATCCTACTGCTCCACATCCGAGATGGTAGCTGATTACTTGACCTAGAATCTCGGAAATCAGAAGTTTGAGTACCGCATGCTGCTGACTGGACAAAGCCAAGTCACCAGCAGCGACACTCCATAAGCGAAGGGGAGTGTTGGAAACAATTAATTAAAGGCTTATTATGTGTCGTAACACCGAACCACAAACAAGGCAAACTACAGTGGAATAACGGCGAGTCAACCATCGGAGGTTGACAAGAGAAGTAACTGCCGGAGGTTACGCGAAGGTCAAAGGTCAGCGAACTTTGACTTGACAAATACAGCGCGACAACAAGGACAAACAACTGACTCGATACTGAGCAGTTGCCCGAATCGTTACTGTATCGAACCGCAACAACAACAGTAAAACAGTTATTAGTTGCACCCTTTCATATTCCTTGTAATCTTATAAAAGATTGTATTAGTTTTTCTATAATCAATCTATCTTGCCCTCACACACTAGCGCAAGGTGGTTTAACACTTATTACTAAACGCTTCCGCAAATACAACACTTCTACTCAGGGTTTAGCCTTGAAAAGATCCTAAGCAGGCCCCAAGATTCGTTTTGAGGCACTCTGATCGATCAGTGTACACCCCTCCTAGAACTCTGTCTCTCACAGGTGCCACAAAATTTTAGTCGAAAAAATCAGACAAGCACAACTTTTTTTGTCTGAACTGTCAGAGTTACCTTCAAATTTTAAGATGATGATGCAGTTTCGTAAAAGCATATTTATAATAACATTGAAGCTGATCACAGCATACCAACGCAACTGTGCGGTGCCGCGCTCGGGAAATTTTGGTTTCCCGCCAGGGCTGACGTTTCAATTTTGTCGGCGGCGCCTCTGCTCATGTCGGCGGCGTTCCGGTGTTTTTGTAACGTACAGCGCTTGGTTGTTTCTGCTGATCGCATTTCGTTTCGTCGTGTATGTGACTACCGTTCTATACCCATTTTATTACATGTTTGCCGATTTTGTCGATTTTGGATTTGCATTTCAATTGATGCTATCGTTCACCCGATCTGGTTGTTGTCGAATACCAGGTGGGCCAAGTGCCATGCAGCTGAGCTGGCAGCATGCAGAAACTATTGCTCAGCGTGGCTGTGAGAATAAGAACGAGGAATGAATGAAGTAGCAAGCAGGTGGGTACAAGTAGGAAAACCTAACAGTATTGTACCCTATACTGCCTACCCCACTATAGCCTACACAGACTATAGCATATATGTTGGACACAGCCCCATAGGCAAAGTGGGGGAGAACAAGAGGTCACAAGACCAGTCAAGAGAGGCAAGCAAGCTCAGGGTGGATCACGACGTCACCACACATTCTGAGCACAAGCAAATGGCCACAAGGCCAATTCACATGCATAGTTCTATAAAGACGAACAAACAATACAGTGTTCACAACCTAGCAAGAGTAAGCATGTAGGTATATGTATAGAGATCACAGTAAAAGCAAAGTCAAGAAGTAAGCAAGTGAGGCCCACTGGGCACAAGGCCTAGAACAGTACAGAAACGCTGATGATCACAAGGCTGAAGTGCCTTGGTGAAGACATCAGCAGAGTTGGCCCGAGTGGCCACGTAAGCAAGATGAAGCTGACCACACTGATGCAACTCTCGAGCAAGGAAGTAGCGCAGAGCGATGTGCTTCGTCCTGTGCTCTTGTCTGTGCTCCTGACACAAGGCAATCATGGCCTTGTTGTCAACGTACAGCACTGGAGGAGAACGAGGCGGCTCTCCCAGGTCGGTCAGCACGTAGGTGAGCCAGCGTAACTCCTATGCAGCCATGGCCCCTGCGTAGATCTCAGCCTCACAATTGGAGCTGAGAACAGAAGACGAGCGGGTAGACCGCCAAGAACCAGAGCCGGAGCCAAGGCTGAAAGTGTAACCCTGTGACTACCGCTGCGTAGCCAAGTCGTCAGCCCAGGAAGCGTCTGCGTGGCCAGTGAGGACAACTCGAGCCCGTCCTCCAAGCACGAGCCCCATGCCCGACGTACTGCACAAGTAGCGCAACACCTTCTTAGCGGCATCCATGTTCTCCTTCCTATGTCTCCCAGGAACAACATAGCGTGCCAGGATGCTAAGAGGGTATGCCAGGTAAGGTCGAGTGCAGGTCATCAAGTACATGAGGAAGCCCTCAAGCTCTGCATATGGGCCACTCGACTCTACAGACTCATCCGAAGGCAGAGCTGAGAGCGAGTGGCGAGTAGACAGAGGAGTGGCCTGAGGCGAGGAGTACGTGAAGCCGAAGCGCTGAAGGACCTGCTGCACCATGTGTGACTGAGTCAAAGTAATGGGGCATTGTGCTCTGTCTCGGGTGATCCG